TGGGAAAGAAGCAATGTGGTTATCTTTTTTTTTTAGTATATTTTTAAATGCTGTTATTTATATTGCATTGATTGATTCTACTTTTAGTGGAGTGGTAAACTGCCTCTCACATACAGTTTCAGACTTTCAGTTTATTGATTTACTCTGAATTTCTTATCTTGAGTTGATTCTTTCCACATAACTTATTTTAATTTCTGGGAACTTGCAGGTTTCTTCGTCACAATTTGTATATCAGCTGTGATGTTCAAGTCAAATGAAATTGTTAAGAAGCAGACAGCCCTGAAGGTGCTATACCTAGATTTTTGGAAGTCCTTTTAATGAAAATGAAAATAGAATTGAGAGTCTCAATTCATGTTCTATTTTGCAGGGAGATCGGAAAGTATCTATTCTGATTGGCATCTCTTTTGCCTTTATGCTGCATGTGATATGCATTTACTGGTGGTATCGAAATGATGATCTTTTATACCCTTTGGCTATGCTTCCACCAAAATCAACACCACCTTTCTGGCATACAATATTCATCATTTTGGTTAATGGTATGTATTTATTCTGTGTGCACAACACACAGTTATTACATTGTTATAGTTTGTTTACACTAGACAGTTTTATTTACTCTATTGGGCATAGAGACAAAATGTATGTTAATAGTATGTGACCGAGACAGAAATTTGGCTCCTTAGTGAATGACTGAGCAGTTTGTTTTGCTTGTTGAATGCTTGATTAATGTGCAAGTGACTTGGAAGTTTCAGCACAATAGTAGGGTTATTTGCTTGATTGATATTGATGAAAAATTGAAGACTTCCTTTTTCTGATGCTTCATAACTCATTTCTATTTTGAAATATTTTATTTTTAGGTTAAATTATATTTCTCTCTCCTAAGATATGCGAATATTAAACTGATCGTTCTAATGCTAAAATAATAATTTATTCCATTTAACTTAACACCATTAAAAATAAATTACACCTCTCTCCTCTAAGAGATGTGTGTATTACAATGTCCTCCTGTTTTATGTTCAAATATAAAACAAAATAAATTACCCATTTTCTTCCCTAAAATATGTGAATATTACACTACTCCTCTCTCTTATATTAAGATATATAGTTTACACATTTAGTTTAACTCCATTAAAAAATATTCTTTACCCATTTAGCTTGACTCTAGAATATATTCTTAATTAAAATATATAAGATTCAAATTTTTTAATAATTAAATTTTATTTAATAATAAATCTTTAATATATGTAGATATATAGATTCATATAAAAAGTTGTGTGTTTAATATACATTTATTATCATTAAGTTTATTAAATTCAATAATTATATAATATTTAATAATATAATATTTAATAATATAATATTTGACATAATTATTAAAAATAATTATATATTATATTTATTAAGTATAATAATTAATACTATATAAGAAAAATATTTGTTTATATGTATATTTACTTAATGCTATATTAGTAATGTTAAATACTATGTTATATAAATTTTAACATAATAGGGGATGACAATGTAATATTTCATATCTCTTAGGGGATGAAAGTGTAATTTATTATATTTCTTAAAATATATCTTGTGGGTAGAAGAACCGAAAAAATACAAAAAAAAAAGGGTTCTTTGTACTTAATCAGTGGTCCTGGACTGAACCTGAATAAAAATTGTCTATGGATAAAGTTAACAGTTTGTTGCCAATGAGGGTTGCCTTACCTGGTCAACCTTTCACTAATGGAAATTGCATGAATTGGGCTTGAATCTTAAGGTTCCCTCATTAGTGGATGATCTATAATCTCATTGAAAATCTTTGTTTAGATCGGTGTTTTTTCTTGGCCTTGGAATCGGGAGAGCCTTAATCACCCTAAACTTCAATCAACCAAAAATGTTAACCACTCTTTTCTTCCCCTTCTTTGACATAGAAACAAAGTCTCATTTTTGTGCTATGCACAGTCATTGCTTGACCCCTTGTGTTGCCCAAGTGTCGGTAATTTCCTGGGAAAAAAGGAATATTACTGCTGACATTTTGTTCAAGATCCAAAATTCTATATGGTGACCAATTTCAAAACATTTTGAACTCTTAATTTTGATATCAACTGATTTCAAGACTCTTTCAGGGGTGTTGGGAAGAGCTTTTATGGAGAATTTGAGCTTATCTTATAACATAAATATTAAAGCAACTGAATGTGTTTGATTAAGCTAGTAAAAGTTGCTTATGACCTTCCTATAAGTTCCTTTTAGCTTAATTCAACGAGCTTTCATGGTGAAGGTTATCAAAATAAGTTTATTGAATTAAGTGCTTATGACATAAGTTCTCATGTGAAGCAATTAAACTCTTTACACAAATGTGCGTTTAGATGAACTGTTACAACTTCGCAATAGCTTAATAGCTCATTCTAAAAGCTTGAATATTTTTTATTGTGACTGACTAGCATGAGCTAAACTCCCTGGTTTCATTTGAATTGATATTGCCACATGAATCATGGAATTAACATCAATTGTGTTGCGACTGTGAGTATTGTGGATGGATTAAATGCTTATATCTGGATATTTAGGTTGCATATTTCTTCTGTCTTCTATGCAGCCAACCTTGGTGGAATCTAAATGAATTAGTTACAATATTATATGTGTTTTCAATGATGAGCCAAGATTTATGGGTCTTCCACTATGTGCCTATTTGAAGTATTTTCTACGTTCTAGTAAAATCTCACCCCCCCCCCCCCCCCCCCCGAAAAAAAAAAAAAAATTTGTTATTTGCATAACATTTCACTATTTCTCTTCCGTTGGCAACACTGATAATAAGTAGCATCTTTGTAAATCTCTTCATATTGTCCTGGTTGATCTTTTTTTTGGTCTTGGCATATAATGTTTCTAATTCATTTGTCAATATTTTTTTGGTTCGTTGGTATTGATGACCACAATATACATTGACTTTTAGATACATTGGTGCGGCAAGCAGCGATGGCTTCCAAGTGTGTGTTGCTTATTTACTACAAAAATGGAAGAGGCCATAACTTCCGTCGGCAGGTTTTTAGTACCTTCCTTACTTTTTCTAACAAGCATATATTTTTCAAGTATAGTTTCCTTCCTCCTATAATCATCTAAAATCATTTAACTTAATTAAAGGGTCAAATGTTAACTCTGGTTGAGTACACTCTGCTGTTGTATCGTGCCTTGTTGCCAACACCTGTTTGGTACCGATTTTTCTTGAACAAGGAGTACGGAAGTCTCTTTTCCTCACTGACCACAGGATTGTATCTAACTTTCAAGCTAACATCAGTAGTTGAGAAGGTATGTTTTCATTCTCTGAAAGTGGCATTCCTACCCAGTGCTGTAACTTTTGTGCATGAACCTAAATTACTCCAATTTGTTCAACCTTCTATGTACTTATTTAGGTCCAATGCTTCGTTTCTGCCTTAAAAGCGTTATCGAAAAAGGAAGTTCATTATGGGGTTTATGCCACAACGGAACAGGTAAATAATTTGTAATATGCTCTGATTAAGTCTGAATCTTAATAATTGCCTTATAAGTAATTCTTCTCTCTCCTTTGTTACTATATATTTATTTTGGTGATACTGTTATGTGCTTTTTCTTGTTTGGAACTTATAGCTTTCTTATATTTGTAAATGCACATGATATATTTAAAATTGGGTATGCAAATTTTAGATGCACAACAAAAAGATGAGTCCCTCTCTTAATTATGAACCATCAAACCTATATATTTGTAAAATGAATTAATGAATCAAATAATTCTGCGATGTTTAACTATTCTATAGTACATTGCATGATTCATGAATGTGAAAAAAAAAAAGTAATATAAGTTAATGCAATTATGCAAGTGTTCTCCATCATATTACTTAAAATATAATTACTTTTAGTATGGATTATGCATTTTAGTGAAGTGTACATGTATGGTGGTAAATTGTTGCATATTAATCATGTATCATGGAACTGATAATACTACTATTTAAGAATTTAATGCATGGGAGTATGCAAAATTGATTGTGAAATGAATGAGATTGATTAATTTTTGACTCAATGCAATTGCATTGTTTTTATATGGTGGATGCCTTAGCAGACTTTGGCAGAAGCATGAGGCTATACACAAACACAAAATTACTGTAGAATATTATAAATAAAAGAACTAATAACAGTATAATATAATATATATCAAGATAAATAAATTTGAAACATTAATATAAACAAAAGTCAGTAAGAGTATCGCAATTCATAAAATAGGGAACAAAGAGTAAATACATAGATAACTGAGGGAACAAAAAGTGGGGAAGAGAACAGAATTTCAGTATCATGCTTGGATTCAAAGAAGAGTACTGGCTCCAGAGAGAACAGAATTTCTGTTTTCAGAATTAAGAATGGGAATTTATTTGTAAAACAGAATTTATGTCAAGGACAATTTATTTGTAAAAAGAAGAATATAATATTGCAAATAATGAATCTGAATTTCAGATTCATGAAACAGGACATTGAGGGAACGAAAGAACATAAAAGGAAAAGCAAGAGGAAAGAAACCAAATAAAATAATGGAAGATAGGGAACTATAATTCTGTCAAGGGAGAAACAGAGGGGGGCAGTCCCATTACATGAGAAATAGAATTGATTGCCTGAAGACTGTCATGGATTGCCAGAGACAACTTCTGGTTATTACCAATGGTATTCTGACAACTGGACATGAAATGGAGATGGTTTGGGTTTATGTAGAGTTTAGGTTTAACATGGCTAGAGCCACATTTTCTTCAAAAGTAAGAAGGCTAGTCTCACATGGAGACTGTTTATATTTTTTTATTTAATATAAAATAAAACCCTAAAACTTCCAATTTTTTTTCTGCTATGGTGGCAATTTCTTCCATAAATGCTATGTTAAAAGCAGCCTCAATGAGTGACAAGAACAGTACCCCACCATGGTTTTTGTGGCATGTTACAAAACAGCCATGCCCAGGCACTGCTGTGGCCATGGTGTTTTGTTCATGCCAAGGATTGAAGACTGCAAAAGGATTACCAGATAGATAGAAACATTATTGTAGTAGAGTGCAATATTCTCATTTTAAATCGCTGGTTAGCCTTGGTTTTTGTTTTGTTCCTCAAGGTGTCCAAGCTCCAAACCTCTGGCAAAAAGTGCAAAAGGATGAGAATGATTATAAACTATGTTCTTCTAACTATTTATATCTTATTCTAAAATTTGATAACATTATCCGGTGCTGATGTTTGGGGTTTTCTTGCAGTTACAAAACTCTTCGCTCTTTTGAAAATATGAAGTCAAAATTGTTAAAAACTAGGTCATCCAGACGGTTAATGGAGGAAACATGTTAAACCCCAATTCTTCACTGTCACAACTGACCAAAACGATATTCTATCTAATCTTTATGCTTAAATATGAATTTTAAAATGAATTTATAATATTTTTTTCCTAGTTTTAACTCTTTAGTCCTTTATTTCCCGTAGGATTATGTAATCACATGTAGATAGAAATCCGTCATTAAATAGTAAAAAGATGTTGGATATATCTGCATTCTCTCTTTTCAGAAATGTATTATGACATCATGGCTTCCATATATTTTATTTAGTTGTTTGCTTGTATGTGGCAGTTGTGTGTTAAAATAAAACATTTTTTTGGATGACGTGGGGAGGGATCCTTGGGAAGAACTGTGGGTTTGGGTTCTCATGTGTGATCGACGTCTCAACCAATTTCCACGATAAAACCTAAAATGCATCAAAAACAACTGTGTTGCTTTGATGATGCCCATCCAACCCCAACAAATGGACATCCAAATTCCAAACATTTTAGGAACCAAGAGGTTCCAATATTTAAAGTATATGCTAGAAGGAAGAGAGATTAGTTAGTTCCAGGAGAATATGTTGTACAGCTTTATAAGTGGAACCTATAAGCTATAAATAGATGTTTTGGGGTAGAGAGGCAGGAGAAAGGATTGTATGAAAACTGTATTACAGTTGTTTGAAGGGAACAACTCTTCTGGTGGCAGAGCAGTAAATTCTGATTATATCTTCTAATTTTTTTATTTGTTACTCTTGATTTTACTGTCAGAGGACCTACCAAAACATGCAGGAAATCTATTATATTGTACAAGCATGTTTTCTTCATTTGCCACCATTTTTATCTAGAAAACATTTTGAAGTGTTAAATTTAACTAGAGAAAGGGAAACGTACATCTTTTGTATTTCTTTGTGGATCCAAAAATTTGTTTATCAGTTTTATTTTATCATACTTCAATAGTTTTTAGTTGTTGGTTTGGCACACTACTTTTATTTTTACGCACAGATGTTTACTCTTTAAGGTTGAGCTGTGGTTCAATGGTAAGGTTTGTCTGGTGACTTGAAAGTCCTAGTTCAAATTTTGGAAACATACTCTTTGCATATTGGAGTAAGGCTGCATACATCGCCCCTCCCCAAACCCCACCAGGTGGAAGCCTCATGCACCAAGTAGCCCTTTTACATATTTTTACCTATTGCAATGTATCTATGTATCTTCAAATTAAGTGCATGCTGAACATATTGTTTCTGGAAAATAGTTGCTTTTTTTCTTTCTCAAAGGCTTCCAACTCAAAGTTGACTAAAGCTAGCAATTATTTGTCCAAAAGAAGCTGAATATAACATACACTAAGCATTTTGGTGTCTTTTGAGAATCTTTAGCCTGCCTTCAAATTCTTTACCACTTCAACTACCTGTATCTTTAGATTAAGTGCATGTTAAATAGATTGTTTCTGGTAAGTAATTGCTTCTTTTTTTCTTCAGCAAGAGCTTCCAACTGAAATTTGACAAAAAAAAACAATTATTTCTCCAAAAAGAATCTGAATAAACATACACAAAGGGTGCGTTTTGTGAAGAAATTTTTTTTCATGTCCAAAAATCATACGTTAAATGCCCTCTTAAGTATTTTGGCTTTTTTTAGAATCTTGAGCCTGGCTTCAAATTTGCTTAAGTTGGCATAGAGTTTTTAATTTTTAGGAGTGTGGAGGAAAGATGATTGTGACATGCCTTGTTTGCAGTTTTCAACTGAGAGGAGAAGTTTAAAATTTTCAAGGATAACTTCCTGCTTTTGCATTGTTTTGTCGAAGAGTCTCTGTCTTGTCTATTTTATATGGTGTTTGGTTAATGGAAGTATTTTCTATATATGATTATGCAGCAGAGCTGAAGGTCTTTGATACATTGATGTGGTTTTATACTTTTATTATGTATTATGTTATTTACTTTTTTTTATTCAATGTGGTGTTTTTCCTTTGATTTTTTCTTTTCATTTATTCCTTTTATAATGAGGCTAGAACTCTTTATATACAATCATTTAAACTTGTTGAGGAATTTTTTTAATGGTGATTCTAAGTATCTAACTGCAGGTGAATGCAGCTGGTGACATGTGTGCTATATGCCAGGAGAAGATGCAGGCTCCCATATTGTTGAGCTGTAAACACATGTTCTGTGAGGAGTGTGTATCGGAATGGTCAGTTTAGAGTTTTATTCCTTGTTTGGACCTTTTAAATTGAAAGCTTACTGATTTTAAAAGTAATAGATAGATAATTGGTTAGGGTGGTTTAGTTATCAGTCTAGAGTTTATCCTATAAGCTGCATCTATTAATTCTCTGGAACGCATTGTCAAATATTAAATTTGATAGATTGTGTCGTTCTTGGCTTTTGGTTTACATCACCCTTTCAACTAAAATTAGGCATATATTTGGTATCTTTTTCAATGGTCTATAATACTTTTCTGTGTAATAAATTCAAAAAATTGAATAGGCTATGTAACTATTTACTAATAAAAATTAAAACCCTAGTTTGTCATGCATCTTAGCAGCGGGCAAAATGAAGTAAATTGAACTTATAAAATCTGCAATCAACTTTCGCTTGAACTGAATTAAATTGCACATTAGTTCACATGAACTGATCTGTTCTTTGATTTCATTGAACTGAATTGTACTGCCCTATAAAAGTTTGAATTGAACTGTTATTTTGACATGTTGATCTGTTATAACAGGACAAATTTGCCAATTTTATTTTATATCTATTATATTGAAATTTTTCAAAGGAATATATATATCGGGCCAAATAGACCCAGTAGATTTTAAGTCTAAAAATTAGTGGCCTAACATTTTGGGTCTGGCTAAATTGACACAATTTATTTTTTGGATCACTTTTGTTGATATCTTGATTGTCGGACTATCGGACCAACGGCTAACTCATCAAGAAGGATTATTTTAGACACATTTAATTTTATCCTTTTGTAAAATTAGTTTAGTTCAGTTTTTAAACAATTTAGTTCAATTTTATTTTTAAAATAATTCGGCTCAAGTTTTTTACAAACAATTCGAATATTTATAGTGTTGTTCAGTTCAACACCTGTTCAATTGTTTTTGTCCATCCTTGTGCATCCTTAGCTATTTATTAAGATTTTGTCCTGTTAAAAAAATTCAGTTTTCAATTTATCTTTATGCCTTTCCTTGTTATCCAAGCGTTGCATTGTTGAGTTTAGCTTGTAATTGTATGGAACATGAGAATGGGGGTATTTTACAAAGAAAGATGAATGGTCATTTCCTCTTTTGCATTATGTTGGTGATTGAAGAAAATGTATGGTATTTGACAAAGAAAGATGAATGGTCATTTCCTCTTTTGCATTATGTTGGTGATTGAAGAAAATGTATGGTATTTGACAAAGAAAGATGAATGGTCATTTCCTCTTTTGCATTATGTTGGTGAGTGAAGAAAATGTATTGATGAAAATGGAATTTTTCTGCTACTCTTCTGCATGCTTCATGGCCAGAAGTACTTCCCTCAAAATTTAGCACCTCAGTTCTATGAAAAGCTTTTATTTCACCACGTTTATATTCATTAAGTGTTTAAATAAAAATAACTACGACAAGTATTCAGATGCCTTTAAATTGTATTCTGATTTGTTGATAATCGTGTTTGTAACTTATCTCTTAACCAACAAACATGCTTGTTTTTCAGGTTTGAGAGAGAACGAACTTGCCCATTATGCAGGGCATTGGTAAAACCAGCTGATCTGCGGACCTTTGGAGATGGATCAACAAGTCTGTTTTTTCAGTTATTTTAAGCTCTCGCTTTGTTTGGCTTGTTGGGTCATTTTTTGAGCCAAAATCTTCCTGGAAAATGTTACGTTCTCTGGTTTGGTAAAATTTCCCATTAATGGATTCTAATGAAATTGAGATTGAAAAAATATATATATAGATATATTACATTTATGGCTAAAGTGCAAGTTCTTCTGTGTAATGATATCAGATGTACAATACAAACTTCAAAGGGCCTTAGACAGCTGGCTGATCCTGAAAGCCGCGTGGATCTTTTAACCTGATATTCGTCACGTCACACGTTAAGGAAACTCTTGTTTATAATGTTACATTTCAAATTAGTTTCCCTCTTCTCCCATACCAATTTCGTAGGGATATCTTCCACAAGTGTGCGTTGATAAATTTATTCCAGAACAATATTCGACATATTTTATTAAATAAATATCAACACTGAATTTTGTCAGCATAACAAGTGGTTTGAAATTATTTTAAATAAATGAAATCAGTAAAACTATACAATTTAAAATTTGTTTTGAGATTTAATGTACTATTTTATTTATTACAAAGTAATTTTTTTAATGGAAGCAAATATTAACTATTATTATACAAGATAATGAAATTACATAATTAGATTAATTAGACAATTGTTCTCTTGATGTCATAAAATGAAGATTTTAACATTTTGTTTTTGTATATTATTCAAACCCCTTGCAAGTTTACGTGCTCTACATCTTCTATTTTTAATTTACTTTTTCTCATTATAGTTACACAATTTTTTATGGCTTATATCTTCCATTGTTATTTAGGTTTAGAGGACCTTAATCCCAACCTTTAGGCAATATCTATCCCTTGATGACATGATTATCACATTTTTCGGATACTTGTTCAAGTAATATTTTGTTTTGGTTTAAGTCTACATTCTAGATTTATCTTGTTTACATACGATTATATAAAGGAAGAGCTTGTGTGAAGCTTTATTCGTTATAATGTTAAAATAATTTGATTTGGCAATCCAGATCCACTGTAATTGGATTATATGTGTTAACGGACCAGGAGTTAATCAATCAATGTATGAAAATAACGCCATACTAGCAATTGGAAAATAGTTTGATTTTATCTGGACAATTTTATTTCATATTTACATGTGGTAGAAGTTTTTGTTCACTCGGGGAAGATAAAAAACAAAGAGTATGAAATGGAAACGGTGCTAGTACATAAAGAAATATAAAAAATGAGGATGGATGCGGTGATAAGATTGAATTAATTAATAACTAAATCTGGAAGCACTAGTGTTGAGTTGTGAAATAGAGGATTGTGCAAAAATGGAACATTATCTGAAAAATAAATTAAACAGAATCTGGACAGATTTGAAGATTACGAAGGGATATGTTTGGTGGTCCAATAATGGTCTGGCTGCTGCTCCCCACTGTGGCATTGAGGCACTACTTTTAACTCCTCCGCCCACCAAAAGTGCCAATCTTCATGCCTTTGCATAATCACTTCCTTTCCTTCTTTTGACTCGTAATCTTCATCATTACCTTTTCTCATTGGACTTCCTCTCTTCTTTTTCTTTTCTTCTTCGAAATGTCCATTTCTTTTACCACTTCTCTGCTTCCCTAGCTGTTACTATTCTACTTTTCTCATATTTTATGTTACTTTCTACTTCTACTGCAATCCAACCACTGCTACACCGCTATATACTTGTTATTTTTCATTCTATTTTCTCTTTTTGTGTACACAGTAACACCACAACACTAGAACTCTAGAGCATTCTACATATTTTTCAAATCCCTTTTTAATAGACTTATCCAGGTGCTTCTCATTGATTAGTTTTCATGTAACTGCTCTATAGTATATACAGTGACCAAAAATATACATTTATATTCATTACAAATTTCACATCAATCAATAAAATTGTAAAAATATAAATATAAGTAAAAAATAATTCTTATTTTATACATAATTTTATAATATTAAATCGAATAAGACTCACATTTTACTATTAACCCTAATGACTCTCATTGAGAGAGACAGAAAATCACATTAATGGTTAAAACATTCAAGAGTTAAGAATTTCCGGTGATTAGAAGGAAGGAAGAACGAACCATATATATCATTATATTTTATTTATGTTTGTTTAATTTAAAGAGGAAAAAGAGAAAATTCAAATTGATCGATATTACCTAGTAGTGATTTCCTTGTTAAAATTTATCACTCTCCACTATACGAAGTAACATGTACTCAAATGTCATAATTAAAAATAAAAATAGGTTAAATTTTAAATAAAGATCTATAATTTTATTTATTTAAATTATGATCTGATCTAGTTTATTTAATAAAAAGAATTATTTATTTAAAAAGATTGAACTTAAGTTTATAAAAAAATCCATCAATTTATTTATCTATGATATAATAAAAAATAATATATATATATATAATATTATTAATAATATAATTAAATAAATAAATTTGTAATACAATAATTCAAATTATCAATGTCTTTTTTTACATTTTTATTGTATTTAAATGTTTTATATTTTTTGTTCGTACAAAATCAATATATTAGAAATAAAAACTCTAATAACTATATTTTTAAATACTTTTTTCTTTCTAGAATACTTCAAATATAATATAAAAATATTTAGTAAAGTTTTTTTAGTAAAATCATCTTTTTCATAGTCCATGCATGAATATGTATGAGTTGTTACTCAATTAATTTTTTATTTTTTATTTTAAACTCTAAATTTTAAAATAATAGTATAAATTATTTTTTTTATCATATAAATTAAATAAAAATTTGCATGTATATTTAAAAATATAATTATTAATTTATTTAGCTGTTTTATTTCCACTCCTATTCACAATTTATCTAAATGTTAATGCAATTATATATGATTACATTAGTATAGTCGGTGAGCAGTAAGTTTAGGATAGTTGCATGACAGCATGAATATTATTAGTGTATTGAACATAATTCTTGGTTCTTTCATTTTTCTAGAGCTACCTCTCTCTTTCTCGGTTCCTTTTGAGGGTAACCTTATGGTTATAATGTTGAATGAAAGGATGCAGTTCTAGTTGGCGACGAGTTACGTAACTAGACATTAGATCCGAATGGAAACTAAAGGCATGGGAGAGTTTGTTTAGAGAATGTCGTGGAGCACAGTGCACGTGGTGGTGACAAATAAGGTACTCTGACAGTTTATGGAATTTTGATGATGGAAAATAAGACTATCAAAAGCACAGCTGAATAATGCACTACAAGGCTGGTCTCCATGTTTGGAAGAACAGCTAAGGAACCACATTCAAAAATGCATGTCAATCATTTTTTTTAACAAATTTCCTCAAACATATACATATCATGTCATTATTTTTTTAAGTGCTCATCTCATTGTTAAATAATTTTTATACATGTACAATTGCTTTTTCTATTTGCCATTTCCTACAAACACTACTCACCTTTTACAGTGTTCTCTTTATATATAAAATACCTTCACTTACTTTAACAAGAACTACAATTTTTTTGTTTTACTAGCAAGGTATAACCTTGATTATCTTAAAGCACACTTAAGAGTTAACGTGCTAATATACTAAAAAGATATATGTTAGTAAATCACACATAATATGTTATATTTGCGTATGTGTAACCAGCCATCTTGGCGTTTGAAAAAAACAAATTATTCATTGGAGTTAAATGTTGATATTAATTTGGCAAATAGTTATGAGCTATTTATACAAAAACTGTGTTCACGGGTTGCTTTTACAAAGATCAGTATCTTTTACACTTTACAATGTCAGCTTGAAGATTTTTTTAGGTATCACATGCATGGGTTGTTCGAATACTTCAAAATGATTTCCATGACTCTTGTCACTGATAGAAATTTTTTTAATTTTTTTAAACATGTTACTTTATAATAAATCAACAATTTACGTAGGAATATTGTTTAGGTTTAAACATGATAAGAATAATTTAATGTTGCCTCTTATACAATTTCATACGAAATGAAGTAATATAAGAATGGTTTACCTTTTTAAGATTAATGATGCAGTTGAATTTATCGAGAACGAAATCATAAAATTAAACTTTTGTTTGATTCTTATTTTTGCAACTACGAAAAAATAAATAATACTTAACTTATTATTTTTCAACTATGGAAAACTAGACCGTTCTTGGCGCTTCCTTTCTCATTCTGAGAAAGAAGTTTGTCATTCTGACAACTAAAATAAAAGTTGTCTACATATGTATCAACTCTCAATAATTGCCTTTTTTTAATTATTGTCTGGAGAGGCTGTATTTTTATTTTAACAGAAAACTAAATCAACACACTCACAAACTTATAATAAATCATGTATATATAAAATTGTCGATAAGTTGTTATGTTGTCCGTTGTCTTGATCTGTGCTTATTAATTAAATCCTCAACAATTTTTAAAAAAACATGTAGAGTGTGAGATAAAGAAACAAGCAAACCTCAAGAATTCCATCACATACTCACTCTTCTCCATTTTTATAGTAATTATACACCATTATTATCTTCTTCTTTTATTCAAATTTTTAAGAGAAAACCATCATTTATAATGAATAATGAATTATTTTCTACAACACACAGATGTATGGTTTTTAATTTTTTCATGCACTTCGCATGTTAAATTTATCATGAATTAATTTAATCATTTAGTTACTATTATCTAATATATATATTCTGAAATTGAAATGTTAAGGATATATATAATTTTTTTATCATCAAAATTATAATGAGAATATCAAAGTTCAAAAGAAAATTGTCATACACATTTTATAATGACATAATATATGTTATTAAAAATTATTTTTATCTACATAATAAACATAATATATGTTAGTATATGTTATTTTTATCTAAATTATTAAATTTCATTGAAAATCAATATTAAAATTATGTGTGATTATATGTCAAATAAATTATACTTATATATATTATAT